CGCGTAACGGAATATGTTACGCATTGCTTAAATAGAACAAGGACGAGCGTGCTAACGTCGTGGGTAGGCGGAACGCGTAATTCGTTCTCGGTCTCCTAATCTTACTCGAGACCAATTCGTCGATGGATTTCGCCATGGTTAGCGTCAATCATCGCCAATCGTCTAAAGCGCCACTGGCTTTTCGCGCAATTTCCCGTATTTATGTACTTTAGCTTCTTTCAAACGTTGTTTGTTTGTTTGTGCCTATGCCTTTACCGACATTGTAATTTTATATTATGACGCGCGTATTTACATGACTGTTTCTTGAATAAACGAAGCCGATAGTTTCGATCGATGACAGCGTTACGAGCGATAAAAGATTAAACCATCAGAAATTGAGTAAACTCTCTCTCTCTCTCTCTCTCTCTCTCTCTCTCTCTCTCTGTGTGTGTTGTGTGTTGTGTGTGTGTGTGTGTGTCTGTGTGTGTGTGAATAGATGATTCTGCGATATGTATAGATTTATATCGATATTTTTATTCGTAGCTTATCTTTTCACTCAATATCTAATAATATATAACTATATATATATATATATATATATATATATATATATATTTCTGCGATATGTATAGTTTGCGATCAATATACATAGATATATGTATTTATAATTATAAAACATCGAGAGATTGTGAAAGATTGGTACAATAAATACGAAAAACAAGTCTTATTAAATCAAAACATTGAAAAGAGCATGTGATTGTTTATAAAAAAAGTCACGACTACATAAGCATAAGCATAAGATAATGATTAACGATTAAACTCGAAAGCGTATTTTAGTAAGAACCAGTGAGTAAAATAAAAACCATAAAACTACGAAATACTCGGTTTTATCGTCATAAGAAATAAGATTATCGCGATGTCTTTCAAAATAATTTTTTCATCAAGTCCGCATTATCAATCACGCTTTCACTTAAAATGCATTTTTGTTTCTAAATAGATTAGACGATATTCCCGATTATGTGTCAACGGCTCATACAATTTATTTACACGTATGCGAATGATTAAAGTTTTATCAAGCGACTTAAATATTTTCACCTTATGTTTGTAAAATGACAACTGTCTGTATAATTAAAAGTAAAAATTGAGCGTCGAATATAGCTTATACACTCTTTATCTGAAAATTCAGCTCTGCATAAATTAATAAAATCATATGTATGTTGAATCCTAGATTAGTAACTTTCTTAATAGATCATAAATAGATCGTTTCTATTAATTTTATTTCGTTTGCTGGCAGCGCGTTCTATTAACATACTATCTATAATTATTCTAAATTATTCAAAATATTTATCGGAATGTAGAACGTCTAAGCATTTTTGAATCTCAAGAATTGTAAATTGAAAATTACGAAATAACCGAGATAAGTGCTTGGAGCGAGTACGCAAACATTGTCAAAATCTCTAATTGAGATAATCGTCTGTAATGGGATGTATCGAGATTTATCCGTTAAAATGTTTACAAAGATGAATTTTCTTAAAAAAAAAAAAAAAAAAAAAAAAAAAAAAAAATGAATCTCAATTACAACAACAATAATTTGAGCACGTAAACGCATATCGAGAAAGGTAAACACTTGAAAACAAATACCCTCAGCGAGTAAATTTACAACCGGTACACATTAATTTACACGTTGATGCAGGTAACGGAGCGAGTCAACCGTATCGAACGTTGGCTATTAAAAATGCGCGATGACCTCGGCCGAATGCCGAAGACAATACCGCAACGGCCATTTATTCGCCGGGAGTTTTTTAAATTAATAAACCATCAGCCCCCCAGGAAAAATGAGGAGCTCCTATTTACGCAAAGAGTATTTGAGATGAGGCCGCAGGACACGAACGAAACACACCGGCGGCAACGTCCCAAGATCCCCTATCTTCGGCCTTTTTTATTGCATCCCCGAGGAAAGTTTGGACTTCCTTCATTCTCTCTCCCTCCCCCCCCCTCTCTCTCTCTCTCTCTCCCTCTCTCTCTCTCTCTACACTCGCGAACGGACCGCCAAGCCCGTAATAAATGCTTTTTCTACATCTGCTCGTGTCGCACGATGACATCACTATTTTATCTTGCGCGGCGTTCCTCTGTGGCTGCGGTGTCGTCTCTCTCCCACTGATCTCTTTCGTTAGTCATGGCTTATTTCTTTTTGCTTAATTAAGTGCACTTATAATGCGATGCGCATACGCATTCACGGTCTCTGAATATCTTTTACGATAAGCAACGATCTTGGCGTGCTCTAGGAATCTTCTATGATCGTAAAACTTTTATTCAAGCGCCTTGCCAAATAATTTGATTATAAGGACTTACGAGCGACCCATTGGTATTTACGATACATACACCAGTAAATACCATTACATAAATAACTAATGGCTGGCATATAAATCGGCTCGACAAAGAGTAATAATTAAAAATTTATTCTACAAACAGATAATGACGCTATAATATCGCCAAAGTGATAAGAACGTGCCTTATATGTGCATTTAATTAAAAAGAAGAAAAAAAAATTGATGTCTTTTGTTATTAGCAATAAGAAAGGAAAAAATGTATTGTATTAGTTGGCCAGTGTGCCGAATACTCGCTGTTAAGACTTGTATAATTAATATCATACGGACTATTTGCTATTTTTAGTTTTTTGTTTTTTTTTTGTTTCTATTGATTTTTTTTTTATTTATGTAAGATAAAATTATGCAAATAAGTCTAAATACTGAATGTTGTTTGCGATTTAGCGAATATAAATATATCGATAAACTGATGAAACAGAAGAAGCCAAGGTCTATAAAATATAAAATAGCCATCGGCATGTGTAATCGCCGATGTTCCCTTTGCTCGTGAAACAAGAGGTCGGTTTTATTAATAAAAAAAAAGAAAAAAGAGAAGAAAAAAAAAAGGAAAATTAGCATCGACCAAGTATCGCATAATGCAACGCTCACAAATTTTTCTTACGCAACTTCGCATCAGCACAATATATATATATATATATATATATATATATATATGCACAGAGCATTCATTTTACCTCGAGTGTGTCACGGGAATTCGCTTTTTTCTTTCATTTTTTTTATGTTGTTTTGTTATTGTTTTTCTGAATTTATAAACAATTGGCATTTTATGACAAGCATTAATTACTAATTCTCTAACAGGAAAAAAAGAAAGAAAAAAAAAACACAAATACAACCAACGCTTCGACATATATGAATAAAACATTGACATTGATTAGCGCAGTTTACGATAGCTTTAAAAAGAAAATATATTTTTAACCGAAATGTCGATATGTAATGTACACAAAATGTGGTGTAAGAATATTTTTTATATCGGCGTCGCTTATTCTTTATTATCAATAACATTTGTTTTTCATATGCAAATGAACTCTCGGAATTTAATATTTAACAATTTATGCACTTTGCGTACGAGGCCCGGGGCGGGCAGTGGGAAGGGGGTGGGGGGGGGGGGGGGGGGGGGGGGGGGGGGGGGAGAGAAGAAAGAATGAGTAAGGAAATAATAGAGAGAAAAAATTATAATAATCGAGAAACTTTACCCAAGATTTGTGTTTTTCTATATTTAATAATGAATGAACAAAAATAGTCTTAGTAAACACCTTGATTTTTTTTATGCACGGCTTTCAAAGGGATAAGATTTTTCAAAATTTATTTTATGGGATGCAAAGGTCATAAATTATTAGGCATATGAGAAAGCCCCGTGGACGTTGAAATAAAAGTCACTGTTTCGTGAATATCTCATACACTTGCGCTTAATTTTAACTAAGGAATAGCTATTTCAAAAATTTTCTTCCTCCCCTCTCTTTCTAAAGATAATGAATCGAGCCTATTTATTAATAATTTGCCTATATACGCCTTGTTAAGAATGGGGTTGGTTGTCGACAAATTCATCCGCCATGTGGCAACGGGACTCCGATAAAACCGACAAAAGATCACGTAAAGCTAATAAAAATTAACTGGCTTGATTATTATTAAAGTCTGGACGCCCGCATATGTGATAACAAATAAAAGTGAACCCTTTGGCTTAAAATACTATTTTTCGTTCTTAGAAAAACGCTTGATGCGATAAAACGATATTTGGCTGAGCAACGCCTGGGCCAGTAATTATATATATCGTGTACGTAACACATCGTCGAGTTGGTAAATTAGTCGATGGAATGTGCTTTACTTTGGATTAAGCCAGTATGAAACTCCATTCGTTTGCACTGGATTAATAACGAAGCTGATAAGACGTCTTACGCAAAGGATCTGTTTCTATAGGACTTGCTCGGTAATGACGGTCGAATTCTCCTGTACCAAAACAAAACCATCGCTATTTCCCATAAAATTTTATTGGCAAAATTTATTGGCTATCAGGACTACTTCTTGCCCTCCTTAATTCTCGTCTCTGGCACGGCGCAAACTCAACGAGGACTCAATGGCAAAGAAAATAGCATTTTCTCCTTTCCCCATTTCAATACCTAATTCTACGCTTTACTCATTATAACTATCGAGAGAATATAAATTGTAAATAAGATTACGCAACCAGTGCAACATATACATTAAATCCATGGAATTGATCGCGAATTAAATCACGTCGCGCGCTTTTAATGTCGCAAGCGGATAAACGACCACCCCTTGGACCATTAAACAATGATTGACAGGAACGTTCATGCCGAAAGTCAAGTGCAGCAGCTTGGCCAGCCTCATCTCGTTCGTGGGAAGTTGTAATCGAGAACTTGTCATCGTGCAAAACAAGCAGCCAGAAGCCTTTAAAGATGCGGCATTAAATACCAGCATCCATTCGGGCATCAATTCGAGCATCCTCGCGCCGGCAGGTGAAATAATAATTCAGGACTCAGCATCCGACGCTGATAAATCGGGCCGTATTTTTTTACTTGCTTCCTTATTTTCGTCTCGCTTCACCCTCCCTGACCAACTCCCGCCAGTGCCGCCGGACCTGTCATCCAGATAATAAGAAAGAAACCGAGACTAACTCACCTTTACCAGCAGATGAATCGGTTGACTGACACTGAGTGGTTTGGTTCTCCTGGTCTTGCCACCTCCGCCGCCCAAACACTTTATCCACGGCATGTTTCGAGCTCTCTCTCTCTCTCTCTCTCTCTCTCTCTATATATATATATATATATATATATATATATATTTATATATCACTCTCTGTCTCTCTATCTATCTATCTATCGGACGCTTCCCTGTTTAACGACTCGGTTCCACCACACCCGCGAAACAACTCGCACGAATCTACGGAATATACGGATGTCGGCGATTTTCTATGCTTAACACCATGGAAATGCAAAACTATTTCTCGGGGCTCGGGCTGGGGGGAGGAGAGGGGAGGCGTTCAAGGTGTCGCGGCTACGCTGTTAATTGAATTATCTCGCGAGTGCTCTTTCCATCCTCATGACGTTACGGCATATCAGCTCCTTCTCCTCATGCCCACTGCCCTTGACTTTGTATCTTCGATGGATGTGGTGTTGTCGCCTCGGGCCGCGACTCCACTTCTTCGGCCAGCGACATAATTTCCGAGGTACGCGATTTTTCTCTTTTCTTACTCTGCTCGGCAATTACTTTACCGCTCGATACCTTGTTGTCTTATCGCCCGCCAATCCTCCGCTCGATCGTGTAATTATTATACACGTATCTATCGCCCGATTGTGCGTGGACTAATTTACTTTTTGCAGTCGTTTTTCAAGGCATTGTTATTATTGTGACCGTTATCGCATTTTCTTCCCATGCTGTCCGATTAATGTTCGTCTCTGCTTATTAAAGTTAATAACGAACGGAGGGAGTCTTATCGTGCGTGTTCTCCCGCTCTGTTTTTGTCCCGAGATCATTCGAATATCAGCATCGCTATGTATTTAATGCCGTAAGTAAGACAATTGAAACAAGCGATACGCGTCGTTTTTACTAACTTATCACTGCACTCAAAAATTCATCGCAACTATCATCTAAAGTGTGCACGAATGATTTCGACTCAGTGTCACAGTTTCGATCTAAATCGGCATCTCTCAAACATTCCAAATTCACAAATTCTGACCACGGCTTTCTACACGATCCACAAAAATGTCTCTCTCCTCTCTCTCTCTCTCTCTCTCTCTCTCTCTCTCTCTCTCTCCCTCTCTCCCTCTCTCTCTCTCTCTCTCTCTCTCTCTCTCTCTCTCTATATATATATATATATATATATATATATATATATAT